ATTAATAATCATATTTTCAAGGAAAAAACTTTCATAGAATGAACTTTATTATCGATAAAATGATATTTTTAAATGAATATACATGATTGATAGAAATTATTATTGAATAAACAGTTGTTGTTTTTTTAGTGTCAAACAATGAATTGTCGAAGTGCAATATTGTAACTTGATATTAACATAACTTCTTTCAATAACTGATGAAGTCTATAGTAAATAACAATCATCATATGATGTTATACATAGACTGAATCATATGTGATTGTAAGGGAACTACATAAAAGTAAACAATATCAATTTCTTTAATCTCTACATATCGATTTTCAGAAAAATAAAAATCCATTAATGATTTTTTTACTTCTACAATAAAATTCTTTTACTTATTTCATTGTCATACTTGAATGAATTCAGTTGAATATATATATAGTAACAGCTGGATATTATTTCTTTTATGAGGTAATTTTTTCTCTATAAAATTGACAATAAATATTGTTAGAAAATCTTTCGTCAAGTTAACAAAAAAAAGAAGAATCTTATTGAATAACCACACGAAGCAATCTATCACCTAGGTCAATGACAATCCAGCTGGCCCAATACAATTCATCCAAACACTAATAACATCGTAGTAATAACTTATTGACAGAATATATCCTTTAGCAATATATCGTAATCAACACTATACAGTTCATATTCCAGAATAGTATCTATCGTAAAAGAAACTGAAAAATAATATTTGTTCGTTATATCTTAAATTTCTATTACATCATATTGTCTTGAAAGTATATAAACAAAAAAAGTCATAAGAAATTCAAACAAAAGATTGTTTTTGTATTTTAAATCAAGATTCCTCTTAGTATTCTTTTAAATAATAATGCAAAACACATAAGATGTCTGGATATATTCTTATAGAGAATTAAGTATTCAAATAATTTGTTTTGTTTTCTAACTATGAATGAGTTATAGATAAGAAAATTTAATTCAGAAGAATAATCAAACGGTTTTTTTGCTGTTCTTAGATATCTATGTTAATGAGCAACAATTCTAATCGGATCACAAGTAATCAGAGCCATCATCGGTCACCTATATTGATCGAGATAACGTCAAGTAGGTTGTTGTTCACCTTCCAATAACATTTTGTTGTCGTATTTGGAAAAAAAATTATAATGGGAAGTCATCAATCTTATGTAAACCTAAAACTGCTGACGTTTGTTCACTTATGCAATTTTCTTTTTGTTGTCTTTCAATATAAAGAAAGGGAAGTTATTGTCACCTATGCAAATAATCGACAAATATCTCGTTTTAGAATTGACAGTAAAAGAGAAAAATGTTTTTAAGTAATGTTCGTCAATAGATTATACAAGAATAATTTTTTTTCTCTCTTTCAAGCATCTCTATCAAGACTTGAAAGAAAAGAAAAATGGTCTTTTTTTTTGTTATACTTCTAAAGTGCTTCTTCCTTTACGAGAAATTACAACAGGAAAATGTTGCCTATACTTATGTCTAACTATCATTTATCTTATGAAAAATAGAAATTTTCTCGCACCTGAATAAACTCTTGCAGTATAAATACAATTTCGACCTTGACTCTCTTGTATGTCTCGACAAATTTTGTCATACATTTAGCATTATCCTCCTCTTCTTTGTCGTTTTTTTCTTCTTTGCAAGATTAACACTTCTCGTATAACAAAAAAAGACGACTACGAACACCTGCATATATGAGAATACATGTGTAAGTGAACTGATATTTGAACAGTCAAGATATAGATGGTTAAAGTTACCTGTTTACTATTGAGAAGAAAAAAGGAGAATCAAGGCTATTGTCATCCACTCATCACCCATCACTGTGTCTTAGTATGTATGAGATTGTCACCATCTGGTTCTGATTCAAGCTATTGAAAGGCGTATGTTTGAGAAAGAAAGAAAGAGTGATAATCATTATTTAGTGCGTCCGTCCGGGTTGTCTGTGCCTGCCAAGGCAAATGATACTGCTAACGCTTTTGCTATATCTCATAATAGTTAGATATTAAGATCTCGATTCACATAGGCAGACATCTAATTTTCTTCTATGTTTTTATCTAGCAGTACAAGATAAAAATAGAAGAAAGAAAATGGTTTTTTATGACTTTTTATAGTATAGTAGCATGCTTATTGATATCTAGTACTTCGTTTTAGATGATTTCAATCACTTGACAATTGTTTCATATTTAATCTCTTTTCTTTCCTTCTTCAATTCATTCATCTTCTTTTTCTTGTAAATTTTATGGCTATACTCAAGTTGACGAATTCTAAAACATCATTTATTGATTTCTCGTCGATGATATCACAGCATAGGTCATAGAATCCGTCATGATAAATCTTTTTTATTCTCATCCATCTGAACAAGATTGACCTTTGGATATTATATATATATATACGTATATAGAAAGAGAGATATGTATATACGTGTATGCGTAATAGTCTCAATAACACTGAAGATGATGATGTTAATATAAAATAGGAACACCTGAGGAGAGAACCATGGACTATATTTGATTAACCATGAGATGATAGAAAAAATTCCAAGATAAATCTGCTATTTGTTGAATTGAGCTAATTCTTAAGCACTATTTCTTTACTTTATACTTTTTTTCTCTAGATAATATGTCAATTTCATAACATTATATGATGTTCCTCTTCTTATCATATAGTCACATGACTAGTAGTAGTAGTTTATCATGAATTTGTTTATATAATGATGCATGGCGATTATAACTTGCAAACAATTAATTATATTTCTATGGACAAGTTTTTGTCTGTTGAAGATCGTAAATACTCATACTTTTGTCATATATTGGAATCAAACAACATTTAAGTGAGTATAACATTTAAAAAAAGAACAACTTTTTTTTGTTAATTTTGATAGTATTTGAGTTTTTTTGTTTGATTGATATATGGATCATATCTAGGATCAATTGACTTTCAGGTGTAAGAAGTAATTAATCATTGATACAACAGCATAGTGAATATACAACGAGAGAGATATAAGCATACAGGCGTGGCTCGTTACCTCATCAGGCATATTCACGCGTCACGCAGTCGCGATAGACGAATAAGTAGATCAAAGTGACCTTTTCGACCACAAAAAGACAGAGAGAGGGAGAGATAGAAACAGAAAAAGAAGAAGAGAATGACGAGATGCATTCTGCAGATTGCATAAAGGCTAACGTACAACTCATATCTATAATTCATACGTACGATTGCTCATTAGCAAACACACACCGTTTAGTTCAGTTGTCAATCTCGTTGATGTGTTTTCTTTTTAATTGCTAAAGATCGACGTAATCGAATCTTGAACAAACATGAAAATATAAAAAATTAGGACTATTCTGTTAAGCTTTTTCTTTCTCTCCCTCTCTCTCTCTCTGTTCTTCTTTTCGTTTATACATTCATTCAGATTATCATACAAATATAAAGGCTACATCTTTTCTAAGCACTAATCTTCACGTTCACCCAATTAAATCAAGCTCGTTTTACTGTCTACGAAGCTCAAGGGCGAATGACCAAATCTTTTTTTCTTTCGTCTAATGAGCCTCTTGCATGTTCTAATAAATTTCATTTTTTCGTTTTTATGTATAAAAATCAACTGTCTCATATACACATGCATGAATGCATTTAAGGCAGGACATTTATATATATATATATATATATACATATATATACTTGACTGTCAAGCAAGCATATCATCATCATAAGAATGATGGACGAGTTGAAATTAGTGATGTGTGCGGGATCGATTGTTTGATCGTCATCGGTTTCGCCTCCTTTCTCATTTATTCGTTCAGTTCAATTCAACTCTTTGTGATATTGACTTTTTCTGTAGTTGAAATGGGCTCTCCTAAATAAACACTATGCAGTATACTATTCAATGTAGACACTCGAGGGCGATATATGACACACATACACATACACACACACATATATATATATCTATACAAAAGTATACGGAAAGAAATTTTTACATATATATATACAGATTCAATTTTCTCGCTTCAATAAATGTGAGAGATAGATAATCATTGAAAAGAAAATAAGATGTTCATCTTGACATTCAATCTTGTGATACAAATTAATACATATAGAGAATAGAAATAATAAACTTCAAATTGTAAATTGAACAAATGATTTTGAATCCAGATCTTTCTTTTTTTTTCAATTTCCTTTTTCATGCACTAATCTCTGTCATCCGTCTCTGTTTCTCTCACCTCCGGTATTTTATTTGTGTGTGTGTGTGTGTGCGCGCGTTCTCGATTGTTCACACAAAGTGACACATACACATATATATATGTATGCTTTGATCATTCATCGTTTTTTCTTTGTGATTGGGTATACTCACCGACTCAGCTCTTCAAGCGATCACTCATAGGCATACTAAAAAATTACGTGCATCAATGAACAGAACATGATAAGCCGTCCCGCCAATGATCACAGAAAAAAAATCGAAAGTCGAATAAAAAAACGAAAGAATCAAATTACAAATCTACACGTCAACAAAACTAGAAAAGGAACAAATATACGTATAAATCATACGTTTTAACTGGAAAAAAGATAAGGAGACAAAAGCATTAGTTCATCTTTTCTTAATTAAGATTATTTTTCTGGTCAGAAAAAGAACTCTTGTGCACATATACATGATAATTGACTATCGGATTGTTGATGTGTTACGTGAAACTCATCTCACATCGATATGATAATGAATATAGGAGAGAGAGAGAGAGAGAAAAAAACGATGGAGCAAGTGCACAAATGGTCCTTTCATATCACCACTAATAATAAACGTTTTTTTTTCTCTTTTACTTGCTCCTCTTCTTCTTCTCTGGTTGTCGACAACGAGAAATGAGAGACGAGAGGAAGGATAATTGGACCGTTTCTTTTTCTCGTGTTAGAGAAAGAGAGAATGAGAGAACGGTCAGTTGAACAGAGCGCAGAGTATATTTGTATTCAGTAGATGCAGCAGCAGAGAGGCTATGTTTATCAACGAGCTGCTTGTGGTATCAGTTCTTTTACTCATCTTCATAACTAGATATCAAACTTATTCGTTACTTCTTCAACCATTCTATTGGAATCAGACAACATTCAGGTAAATACAAAAAAAGAAATAATTTCTCCTGTAAAATATTTTGGAAGACACGATTGAGAAGAGAAAAAAAATCGATTAATTGATATTTGTTACTCTACATTACACACGAGATGTCTTTTGTTCATTTGATTAATAGACTATTTCGAATAGAATTTGATTGATAAGCAAATTAAAATTCCAATGACTTTATTTTATTAACCTGATAAATAATATCCAATGATAACTATTATTTTCTAATAAGAATGTTAGAAAAAAAAACCGCAGAGATAATCAATCGAACTATGAATAATAAAAAGATTAATATATTAAGAAAATATTTATATATAGATAAATAAATTAGAATGGTATCTTTAATAGAAAATGACACAATTCCTTTTTTGTTCTTTTGTTAAATTGTTTATTTGTTTAACTACTTAAATATGTTACGAGGAAGAAAAAGAAGAAAACTTAGATATGTAATGTGCTTCTATTGTGTGTCCATATTTTTGTTTTTTTTGTCATAAGCAATTGATCGTGCAACTGTTTAGAAGTTGTTGAGTCAATCGATTCATTCATTCATCTACTTATGTTGTTCACCATTCGTCACTTAATTGCAATGCACACCACGCGCCTGTCTGTCTGTTTGTTTGTTTTCATGTAAAAAAAGACGGGTAACGCCCGTAAAACAGACGCATTGGATTAGTAATCAAAACATACAGGGTGTTCATTGTATTTGTACATGTTTGTTAGTGGTGGACAACGTTCTATACGTTTCACCATTCAAGGATGATCAGATAACCGATGATAGAACATGATTGTCTCAAGAGACTAAAACATAACTTGTTCATTTCCTCCCTGCTAAGATCACAAAGATATATGTATATAAGAACGTTATTCTCTCATGATGATTCTAATAAAGAAAACATTTCGTGATTGATATGGAAACCAGTTCTTAATATAATAATTTCTCTTATCAAAACAATCCGTTTCAGTAGTGGAACTTAAACTTTATAATATTATAAATGAGTTCTACCGTGATTTACAATTAAGATATATAGATTATTCTTTTCTAAAATAAAAATGTATTGGATTATGAATAGAATTAGATATTTTTAGTTTTAGAGAATGCAAATATCATTTAAAGTAGATAAGAAATCGATTATATCATATTCCAAGAATGTAAATATTCTCTATCGTTCAATATAAATTTGAAACAAAATATCTTCCAAAACAAAATTGTCTATTTGTTTCGATGGCATTAGATGTCCTTTACTAAGTGTCCATCTGTGCTACATATACAAATGACTTTTCACTATTCACATCTTCAGGCTATAGTAGCGGCTGTACTCTCTTTTTCTTTTTAATGTGTTTATATTCATTTTTATATAGTATGTGTCTCTGTCTGTTCATAGTGGAACTACCCTTACGGCATTTCATTTATTCGTTCATTCATCTATTCAAAGATCTACTGACCTTGACTAAACTATTTTCTTTTTAATTAAACTTATTTTTATTGTTAGTTTTATTTTCAAGTATTGCCTTAAATAAGCAAAATATGAGAATAAAAATCAAATAAATTTCATATATATATTTGTTTATGTATATACAGGTCATATCAAGACGGTTCATTAGTTCTTGAAGTACGTTTGGGTGACGTTATGGATCTTATATGTCCATTTTATGACGAACAACAATCGTATATGACAAGTGAACAAGAACAATATGATATATATCGAGTATATTTCATCATTTTATTTTAACAAATATAATAATAATTCATCTTTTTATTTTTCTGTTAAGGTATCTGAAAATGAATATAATCAATGTAATATCAATCAATTTAATAGTGAACCAACAGCACGTCGTGTAATAACATGCAACAGTCCATATGATGTGATGAAATATACACTTAATTTTCGTTCATATTTACCAATACCCAATGGATTTGAATTTCGTCCTAATCAAACCTATTATTTTCTATCAACATCATTAAGTCATCAACAATGTAACAAACTTAAAATTTTTGTACATGACTATCGTAAGTGTACATCTTTACTCGCTCGTTTCTAACTAGATGACAACGATGTCGATGTTTTGCTTCGTTGCACTCATAGATATACAAATGAGACGACGTGATTATGTAATAAAATTGATGAAGTGTAATCGAATCATGTTAGATTCGATACTTCTCGCTCGAGCGCTTTTTTTCTACTGATTACTTAAAGAGAAGGAATAAATGAATGACTAGACAAATCCAATAGTGACCACTAAACATATTCACTAATTAGTGAACCATAATCGATTAGAATTTTTTTCTTCTTCTTTTGTATATAAAAGAAAATATATACAATCTTTCTTATATGATTTCAACGAGTTCTATTTAAAAATATCAATAATTAATGTAAATAATTTAAACTATACTCGAAAATTTCTAAAGTGTAATTCATTGTTGTACAAAACATCTAGACAATATATTTATTGATTGATCAATTGTATTTGCTATTTAACCACACCCTTTTGTTATTTTGTGATAGTCATATGATTTATAATATGGATCACTGAAATGTCGAGAGATGTTGATTGCATTAGATTAGACAAGACAAGACATATAGACATGAGTGTGTGTGTGTAAGATGGCGGCGTCTTTTTACGTTTCATTTTCTTATTTTGTTGATGTTCTATGCATGACTTCGCCATCAAACTGAGATACCATTATTAATATCAACTAACTTATTTCTATATTCATGAATGACTCAATAATAAATAATCCAGTTATCTAGATAAACTATAATCATAGTAAATGAATCATTTATGCTCTACATATATATATATATAATAGAATTTGTTATTATATGAAATATAAATCAAACAAAATTTTTATCTATTTAGAACGTATGTCATTATCAACAAGTACAAAATCGTATATCGATAATCAAGAACATAAACCTTTTTCATTTCCTCATTATTCTCATCATCGACATGAATCATCACAACCATCGATATATAAAACTGATCATAGACCATTTTTACATGCCATTAAAGCTCAACGTCACAGTGATGCAACTTCAATAAAATGGATAACTGATGGACCACACCCTCAAGATAATGGTTAGTATTTTTTCTCTTCTATATGTATATAATTATTAAAATCTCATTTTTTTCTAATAGATAAATCTCAAGAAACAAAATATATAATGGAAAGATCTAGTTCACCATCAAATATGTTAAGTCTTGCGTTAAGTTCTTCATCAACAAAATTAACAATACCATTCATTTTAATTTGTCTCCTACTTTCTTTAAGATAATATCGAAAATATCCTTTCTTTTCTTTTCTCTTGACACCGGTGTTCTTCAAATTTTTACTATGAAAATATTGTTTTGTTAAAAGAATTTCTCTTTTTTTTGTCAGAATATATATACATAAGATCTTGATCTATATACTCATTGTGTGTTGAACAAATGGATGAAAATATAATCATTTTGTTTTTCTTTTCTCGTTGTTTTATAAAACGTTTAATTCATCTTTAAATGCACAGAAAAATAAAATCGAAGAACAATTTATTCTTTTTTTGGTGTATCAATTACCCAAGCAGGCAAGATTTTGGAGAAATGCATTTCCGCGATCCAAAAGTGTTCTTTACACGCTGAAAGCAGCGTTTTTAACGTGTGAAGAACACTTTTAGACCGCGGAAACATGTTTTTTCTAATATCCTGACTGTTCGAATAAATATTTTTAATTAGAAACAATAATAGTTTATGCATTGACTTTTACAATAATCAAGAAAATTTATCGATATAAATATATAAGAATTCATAATAGTTTTTATATAGATGTTGTTGTCGTCACTTTTGATGCTTATCAGTTATATTATTGTATATAACTAATAGAATTTATTACACGTTGCTGTGACATCCCGGTCTAATTAAATTGATTAATAAGCATCATCAAAACTTATATCAACATGCTGATGTTGTTATGGGTGTAACGATGATCTAAATAAATAATATACATAGAAGTTGATGAAATGAGAAAAATAACTTACCATTTCATTTGAATGTCCCGAATTATTTTATGTGTAATAGTTGTTGTTTGATACACGAAAATTCAAATAGGTTATTTACAAAAAAATTCAATACGATTCATTACATACTTCATTGTTAGCTGTATACATATATCATGAAAAAAAAATCAAATATGAACAAATAATTTATATCGATGATTATGCAAGGGTAATTCATGTGTGACTCAATCGAAAGGACAAAATATTGTATCTTTCTTTTTTACATAGATATACATCATGCTTTGTACTTTTCTACACAATATAATGATATCATATAAATCGTCTATAGAATGAAAATTACTATTGTACCTAGAAAAAAGATATTTCGATAAGGTAAACATAGATGTATATATTACATAAGCAAATTTGCCTTCATATCTATCGTTTGTATTCGCTAGTTAGTTTACATTTCATAATTTTAATAATGAAGAACATATTGCTGAAAGCTTTGTTATTCTTTATCTCAGACTTTGATCAAATAATTTTGTTCACTGTAGTTCCGGAACAGTTGGTGATAACAAAACTATAAATAATATTCAATAAATTTACATATCTGTAAATGTTTCACAGTATATAATTAATGAATTATGGTAACTATGTCATATTTGTACTTCAAGTGAACTTAATTTCACATAGCAATTAATTGAAGAGAATATGTATGTCTTACTGGTGTACAGAAAATAATTTTTAATATTGAAGAATATCGTTCGTAAATATTTACGATGTCAACTTTCTAACAGATGTTCGGTTATTGTTAAATGAGATTAAATCTGTTTTTTCAAGGTAATTGCTTTCCATAATACTGACAAAGATTTTTTATTCGTAATGAATAACGTGTAAAATTGTACATGTTTAGGAAAAAGTAAAATGTCAACTGAGAAATTTGATCCATTGAGTTCTTGGTGTCGCAGAAGTTTTTGAAATAAATTCTCGATTACCCATAAAAGCTCGTAGAGGAACCGGGATTTGGACTTGTCCAATATCCTATTACATAGAATAAATTTAAAAGAGCTTTTATTTATTATAGAACATATTTCTTACCGGTTTCCAATTAGATTCAATAATAGCAGTAAGCATTCGAGGAATTGCCATAGCTGTTCCATTTAACTAAAAAAAAAAACATCAATCAAAACACATACAAAACAAAATTTATCGTACAGTATGAACAAATCGTTCGTCACCATTATCGTCAATATATTTTATGTGAAGACGACGTGATTGAAAATCAGTACAATTCGATGCACTGCTTATCTACAAAATAGAAAGCGATATATATTTATATACATCAGAAGAAAAAAAACATACTTCACCGTAAAATCCTTTCGCTGGCATCCACGTTTCAATATCATATTTTCTATGAGCTGAAAGGCCGAGTTCTTCTGATGGCATATCGAGTACTCTGAAAATATTTAGATATTCAAAAATTAATTTTACTAATCTAATCTATTTCTACCTAAAATGTAATCCAAGTTCCTCAAACATTGATGATTCTAATCGAACAATTTCATTATGCATTTCTTGTGAAACATCATCATCATCCGTTGTAACAGCAAACATTTCAACTTTATTAAATTCATGTACACGATATAAATTACCTTCACCTTTTCCTCCGGGTAATTCAGCTCGATAACAACGACTACATGCAGCTAATCTAAAAATGAATATATAATCAATAGACAAGAAAACAACAACAACAATGAATATTTTTTTCAATCTATTTACTTTAAAGGTAATTCATCTTTACGAAATGTATTATGTTTAAGTAAACCAGCGATAGGCATTTCAGATGTACCAGCAAGACAATATCGACCAAATTCTTCTCCATAATCTAATTGATAGACTTGTGATCGTTTACCTTTTGTTGGAAATCCACATGATTCCTAGGAAATAAAATAAAAAAAACTGTCTAATAATTTATTTTTAAGATAAAAAAAAATATTACAATAATGCCTCGATGAATAATATCAGGAACTGAAACTAATTTGAAACCCTAATATAAAACAAGAAGAATTTAAAAAAAAGATAATTTTCGAATATTAATTTACATTTTTTGTAAGTTTTTCAAATGTATAATACATTAAAGCTCGTTCTAAACGTGCAAAATCACCAAATAATGCATAAGCACCACGAAATGATACATGACCCATATTCCTATTTACAAATACAATTATAAAAGATTTCTATGAAAAATGAACTTACTCTAATTGCATCAAATTTAATTCTTGACCAATTTGGTCAATTGTTTGCGAATTACCAGACGTTTCTAGAAATTCAAATGATATTTAATGAATACAATTTTTAAACAAAATTTTTCTACCTGGTTTCTTTCCAACTAACCGAACAACTCGTGCTTGTTCTTGATTCCCAATTGGCTTGATAGAGAAAAATTAAAAACAACAGATGATAGGTGATTAGAAATATGAAAAAGGCTACCTACGACGTCAGGATGTGTATTATTAGGTATTCTTAATGCATGATTATATAAATCTTGAATTTTAAGTTTGATCTGATCCTAAAAATTTAAATAGAATTTAAATTATTTATAATACTAAAGTATTATTTACTTCGCCTTGAATTGGATCAAGTTTTTTTTCTTCAATACGATGAAATAGAGCTTGTACATCATGATGAAGTGCATGCTAGAAGATAATATTTTTAGAAATAAGTGTAATAGGAAATTTTCATTTACAATTTGTTCTATATCAGCATATTCGTTTTCTTTTCTTTGTTTAATATTTTCTGCAATTGTTTGAGAATTTTCATCATTTAATATATAATCCCAATTGAGAGCAGCTGATCGAAGATCAAGTTCAACATAAGGATTCAATCGATTGATATATGTTTTTACTTGATCCAAATAAGCACGATAATCTTGCCATGGATTAAATTTTGGTGGTAGAGATGAATAGAGACGAACAGGTAAACGAAATAAATGTTTTACTTGATACATTTATGTATTTTTATTGTATACATATTATATTAAATAGACCAGAATAGAATGGAATACAACTAGTCGTACTCGATTTGATCTTGAATATTGGTAGAACTGACTAATCAGAAAGAACAAATGATAGATGGCATTGTTTGGATAATATGTTCAGTTTTTCTCTGTACAAAAAATATTTTGAAAAATAAAACTTTTAGTATCTTCCGGCCTCGGATTACGATATTTTTATAATATAGGATCGTTTAATACATTAATTCTATTTGAAAGTTAAGTTTTATTGATTCCATCACTCGAAATTCTTTTAATAATACAGCTAACATAAGTAACTGGATGTTAATCAACACACTTAATCTACTTTCTCCTACAAGAATATGAAGTGAATTCAGATATAGTAGCTAAGGTTAACTATCACATATCTATTTACATAGATTATGAATCTCCACAACTAAGTAAAATATTAAAAAATAAATATTATATCAGACAAATGAAAATAATACTCAGTTAAATCTTTTAGAAAGAATGGAAAGCAAATCGAGTAGCATTTTATGTGATATCTGATAAATTATTTGAATTTTGCCATCAACTCAGAGATGTCCCACAAAACAAGATTTTCAAATCTTGAACGATCATCGCCCTCTTCTGCACTAAATATATATAAGATTGTACATTAAGATCAATTAATTTTTTTTAATTTATTCTATCTACGAGAATTTAATTCAAAATTGAAATCAACTAAAGTCTGTTGATGTAATACATATTCAATATGAGTGTATAAATTTATATGTATAAATATGCAAGGCAGCAATAAAAAAATCAACCGATTTAGTAATTGAAAAAGAAAACATATCATCGATTTACAACTGGTGTCGATATTATACATTCTTTCTTCAAAAATATTTGACTATATGATAGATATATGAACTTTTCAATGATGAAAGGCTATGTATTACATAGCACAAAATATAGGATTTTTCAAAAATACAGGTCAAATCTGATCACAGAATATCGTTGAAAAAGTTTGTTTGTTCCTTTTGTGATCAAAGTAGTCTCAGACGATCAACGTCTTTTTTTCCTCATTAGCATTGTATTATTACATGTGCTATATATAAATTAGTTCTTTCTTTTTTTTCTCCTTCAAAAACCAATATATGATGAATTTCAACGAATAAACAACGTGTACTGAATAAAATATTGAAGATATTATCAAATAAATAAAAAAAAGTTTTGCTTGTCCCTTATGTAATCCTTAATTAGTATTTTGAAAATCAACGTTTTTTTTTCCTCATTAGCATTGTTCTCTTAAATGGTATATAAACTAGCTCTGTTTTATTTTCTCTTCAAAAACCAATATATGTTATATTCATCGAATAAACGACGTGTAATGAATAAAACATTTACAATATTATCAAATAAATATTGTTCATCTCATAATGATATTGAACAAAATCAATCAAATTCTATATGTGAAAATATTGATCGATTATCTATAACATCAAATGATCCACGATTTTGTACATTTACAAAATATAAGATCAATCAACATCAGCAACGTTATTTTGATTCACCAACAATGATTATACCAGATGATGATGATGATATTCCTATAAGTCGTTGTTCAAATAAAACATCATTTGTAGAACCAAATTTAAATGAAACAGAACTAAGTGATCTTTTAATTTTTACTAATCGTATGTTGAAAAATAATTTCAATTTCAATTAAAATTATTTTCTTCTCTAGCATGTCGAATTTTAAGTGAATCAATGCACGTAGTAATAAGTCGTCATCCATCATTACAAGATTTAAAATATATCAATGATGTCAGTAGTCTATTAGTTGATCCACAATTTGTACAAAATAAAGATGAACCTATTTACCAAGAACTAATTCGACTTGATCATTTAATAGCAACACCACCATCCGACCATATAAATGATATTGATGAAAATAAAGAAAATCGACCACCACTAATGCCAATCAAATGCTCCACGTCACGTATACCTATTTGGACACCATCACCAAATAATATAACTGAAAAAATAAAAAAAAATCAAGAATCGAAAAAGAAAACAACTACAACATCAGCTAAACCATGTCTTAATGGTAAATAAAAATTTTATGAAGTCATAATGAAACTATCGAGAGTGAATTTTAAAGAAATAATCTCATACAATTTATAAATGAATATTAGTCAATCAAAGATATATTTTTATAATTTAGATCTACTTGATGAATGGTCGTCTATTACACCACAACTTAAACAACTATTATCCAATACACGTAAAATGCCCATTCGAGTATATTTATTTTCTGCCCTTCAAGTTCATCATTTTATTAATAATACTCTTTTAGATGCCTCACTTAACAAAGAACAGTATCGAGTTTCGTCGACTGAAACAACTGTTAAACGATATGGAAATAACAACATCCTCATGGACTAACGCCATTAATCAATGTCGCTATGTTCTTCAACATGCTCAACAACAGCTATATCGTTCATAGATATAGTTTCATTATTATTATTATTTTTTTTTGTTATCTTATGTTTTTTATATTTGTTACTGTTTTATGTAAATATTAATGATAAATATTTTCAATATTAATCTAATCTAATCTATATAAAAATAAAAAAATAATCCATAATATTTAATGTAATTGCAAATTTTGTTGTTTTTTGTCTTAAATAATTTCACAGATTTTATTATATATATACGTAAATAAAAAAATAATTTCATAAGTAAATCTAATATTATTTTATCGAGAGATTTATTTTCCTCAATGGCATTTCAAATGGTTTTAAATACACGACGAGTATCTTTATTTCATGTCGATAATAAACAAGTAACGATCGTTTTTTATTTAATTTTAAAAAAGGAGAATAGTGTTTATTGGAGACATTTCTTTCCAATGACTAAGTTTGTACTTGATATTGAGAAATTCTAATAAAAATATTGAAACTATGGATGTTTCTTACATCTATAATTTACAATATATGAAAATAAATTAAGCATACTTTTCTTTTTGATCATTGAAAGCTTTACATTATTCCATTGTAATATCTTCAAAGGCAAGATTACTTTCATTTCAATTAATTCTTTTTGAGAATCTCAGATCAGGTAATCATTTCTTTTTTTATTTTACTTCTTTTTCTTATCTATATATGATTTATTTTGAAGTAAACGAGTAAGTATATGCAATCAATAAGAAAAATGATCCAAAATTAGTTTTTGAACCTTTTCAAAATAGATTAACTATCTTTATCTATACTGAATATAAAACTGAAGTTAATGCCTAGTTTAGTTTAATGATAAATGTCATCACGCAGTTGACTAAGTTCTAATGATTGGGTTGATGAACTACATAAGGAAATAACCTACAATTCAGTTGTCCTCATAGAGTTTAACCTTTTCTTTTGAAGTTCCTGTTGTTGAAATGAAGCATTAAAGACTGGAAATTGTCAATGTCTTCATAGAACTATTTGTAATTAATGGTAAAATTATTCGAATGTTCTTAATCGATTATTTTGATGACGTATGTATTTTAATAAAGAAGAAAGAAAAAGAAAGGTAATCAATTGAATACAGTAGGAAATATTTGAGATTTATTTTCTATTATAGTTCGTAATCTTGTTTTGTTATTCCTTAGTGTATTGAAATGAAGATTATCTATAAAAGAAAATCTGAATATAATCTATCAAAATAAGAGTTTTGTTTATATATTAGTGTAATTCTTAATGTGAAAGATTAATTCACGAATAAAATTCTTTTGAGAAATAAATGAGAATTTTCAATTATTTATTAAGCTCCTTAGTTCGTAAAAAACTTGTGTTCACTCATAGTCAGATCGCTTTTTCATAATTATTTATGCGACTTCATATAATATCGACATGTGTTTCAATAAGTTTTTTTTGTTATAAATATTTCTACTAAATCTTATTAGTTTTTTCGAACAGATACGATTTTGTATAGTGGATAATTATCAATTGATATTCAAAGAAGGAGAAAAATTGTTGTCTTGTATCACAGTACTCGAGATTAGGTGAAGGATAACATGTGTGGATTGAGTTAATATCATGTATATATTGTAGATTGTTTGTTTACTACGACATATATAAATTGTTACAATTAAAAGAAAGATACAAAAGCTAATTTTGAATTTTCCTAATCATATCCTATCAAGTACATATATCAGTATTTAATTGATTCTAAAACGGAAGATGATGAGTTGTATTATTATGTGACTTAGAAGATGAAATGTCGCTTTTTTTAAAATCAGTAATTGTTGTTTTTTGTCGTTGATTACCATCTTGAGGAAGGAAATGACAATAAATTGTATTTTTTTTTGTAATGAGAAAAAGAAGACAAAAATATAAAACTGAAGAATGTTATTGAAATAACTGGAAATAGTAGGCCACTAACGACTTTGTTACAAGACAAACATACATCTGCTTTTTATAGAATATATTATTATTCATTTGCACTCGGTCTATACAATATATCTAACTACCTTGATCTACGAGATGTTTTATGATTCAATTAGTCAAATTAATTAATTGATTTCGACAAAATTTTCTATATCTTTCTTCTACGAATATCTTATATTACCCTTGTCATTTCTACTTATCAGATGAATACTTCATATATTACTTAGATTAATACGGGATCAAAAAAATTAACATTATTTCATAGATTTTATTAATCAATAGAATAGAAAGAAGAAAAAAATACAAAAAGTTTATTTAAAGTATTGATATACATATTCATTAAATAAGAAAAAGTAAATATGTTACTGTAGACACATATAAGTAAATCTAAATGATAACATGTGTTGTAATATCATTTCTTACAATAAACATAAATCTTCGAGTTTGCTTTTTTTGTATATTAGAATTTACCTTGATAGAAACCAATACGAATTATTTCGTATTTATCTAACTTGTCAGAACAGATGGTAATATCTAATTTCCCTTTGATAAAATGTGTTTTTTTTTATATCTGCTTTTCTCATTAACCAAAAAAACGAAAAGAAAAAAAAAAGGATGTCTATTGTCGTACAAGTGACAAGTGAAAGTACTACTTGTTGACATTTATTTTGACGTCATCAACGTACTATTGGTAATATTTTTGTTCATTGAAAGGATATATACAGCAAAGTATATATATTTTTCTAGTTATTTGTTTGACCATGAATAGACAAGAGTCTATTATAAACATTCCAAGCAGATACAGACGACAGAAGACAAATAACAAGCTCAGTAGACAGTGTAACCTTGTATTTATCATTACATAAATAACATATAATACTTTTTACCAAGCCAGAACATGGGTCTTGATCAAATCTGTCATTATAATTCTATTTCTCTGAACAAACACCTCTGATAATTATGAATGTCTTATTATCATTTTCATATTTATCATTGACTAGTAATACTAAGAGAGATTAAAAAATTCTTTTACTCAATATTATGAATATAAATAACTATCGATTATTGTGCTAATTAACACAATATTAGAAGTCTATTAATTAGAAATATTTTCAAAGTCGACATATTATTCTATTGCTTACTAAGAAATATAGACTTGATCTTGATCACTTTCAGTTTCTCACATTTCATAAAGGAAATATAACACCATATTTATATACAATTTTAAGTGAAAATATAATTGTAATTAATGTAATTCACTCTCTCTCCCCCTCCTCCCTCCCTCCCTCCCTCTCTCTTCTTCACTTCGATTTTGTTCAGTGCCAGAGGCTCGGTAGATGAAACTCCTAAACAGTAGACATATCTCGCTAGCAAACATTGATAGATATTTCAATAATCATAGAGTATGCACCCTCGGGAAATAGACAAAAGAAAAGAAAGAGAAAGGAAAGAAGAAAAATCATAAAAACCTAGTCGTTATTTTCTAACCATTGAATGAAAGAACGTTGGTGCCTTCATTTTCTTGTTCTTCTCATTCTATCTCTTTCACCATCTCTCATTAACACGCAATGCATGATGTCGTACAACGAATAAGGTGAGACAACGATTGTCTAATTTTCATTGAAAGACATAACTCTAAGAAATGTTCATATCGAAGTAAGGGATTATATTGAATTCATCTCTAGACTTTTCTTTTTGAGTAACAAAGATATGAGATTATCATTCTTTGGTATAAACTATCAAGAACAGATTACATACAGTTAGAAAAATAAGTAAGAATAGAGAAAAAAGATGCAAACAGGATATGACAAGACATATCCATTTTCTATTAGTTTTATAAAAAAAACAACAATCTACATGCGAAAAAAAAAAGATCTAATTATAAAAATATATTAGTATTAGTCAAAATTGTCCTTTTCGTTTTTTTGTGAATTAATTAAATTTTGTTAGAAAATACTAAATTTATCTGTCAGATAATGATAATATCATATCAAGTACACTAAAATAAGTGTAATGAACGGAAAATAAATGACAGATAAATAATGTATAGAATACCGCCGGCAAAAACTATATTATTATGACATATATGTAGTAGAATCTAATTGATTCATTTTTTTGGTGAGATGAATATATTAGAAAGTCAGTCATAATAAACGCCTTGGAAATATTTTTATTAGTTATTATGTGACAAAAATTAGTTTTTCATATATAACTCGTTGAAAAGACATTCTTTTATAAATTAATTAGTGTACTCTAGAGAGAAAAATATGGAAAGTATTGTCAAATATTATTTGATAGAAGAAAGACAATAGTCTTAATATAATATGGTAATATCTACCTCATTCGATCAGCATAAGTAAAAAGCTATGTTAAAAATGCGTTAAAGTAATATACATTCTTTGTTCTTAACCTTCCCTAGATTTAGTGTCGATCGTCTGAATCGGCAACCGTATATATATATATATATATATATTATTTATCCTTTCTAAATATTATTTCTTCTTAATTATTAGTTTCACAACAGCTTTAGTTACATAAATATGGTTTTCAGTCAGTTAGAATTGCACTTTCACATTCTTATAGATTCCTGTTGTGAAGAGATGTGTTTACTACCTTCCATAATAATGAATATTCATTAACTTTCACTATCCTGCTGCTGTTATTAACTATTTTTTTAAATATATATCTTAACTTTTATTTTCCATTTCTAACACCATCGAATACAATGAATGTGTCTGAAGCATATGATTCACATAAGAAGATAATTGAATTAACCAATGAAATTAAAGTTAGACAAGGATTCTTGAAAATGAAGACAATTACGACCCATTAGCACATAAAATATAGTTAACATTGACATGATATCAAGGATATTTCAGTGACCTCATCAATTATCTGTCATTTTCTACAAAATAACATCAGTTGTTGTTCAATGTGAATGAGTGTGCCTAACACTAGTATATAGAGAGAGTTAAGCTAACAAGGACATATACATACACGTAACGCGTATGTCTATCTATTTTATCTGGTCAACGATCTAGGAATTATCAATGACAAGCGAGAATAGAAACATGTGTACGTCTGTAAATGTAGATTAAATAGACAGTAAGCATGTATCTCAATGCACTCTCTCTCTCTTCTTCTTCTTCTCCTTCTTCTGCTGTCTCTTTCTTTCCTGAGGGATTTTCCATCTTTTTTTTTCTTTCACTTTTTCTTTTCAAAAGAAAAGAGCATCGAAAAAAATGTTGGCCTCGGGTTTTTATTGACTTCTTTATGTTTAGTATATGCATGCTTATGTTTAAGACAATAGAAAACGATTGAGATTGGCAAGATAATTCTTTCTGAAGACAAAAAAATAAAGAATTGAGAAAAATGACTGTGCGTTTGTTGTAATATCCGGTTCTTACAGACTAGTTTGACTAACTTAGAAAGCGCGAGGTGAGTAGGAGGTTGGTTACAAAATTCTTTGTGACTCTTATCTTTTCACTTTTTTTTTCATTATAATTATTACGTTTATATATACTTTTCTATCAGAATCTTTTCCTTCAATGCGTTCGTAATAATACTTTACTATGACTACTCTGAAATTATATACCTTCTCACTATAACTAAATGTCTTTTTTCCTTTGAATTTGTCGTTTTTTTTCCGAGTAGAGCTTTTAGTTCATTAATAAAACTATAAGCTATCGAATAAAACAATTCGTATATGGAAAATACAGGAAAGTGTGTATATCTGATTAACTACAATTTTTTTGTTTAAATACTAGAATAGATATTATCATGACCTATTGTTATGAATAATATTGAAAAATTACACTTTCGCGTATCAATTTTTCTTACTTTAATTTGTAGTATTTTAACAGAAAATGTTCACTTATATATTTAACATATCATAGGATTAGATTTATATTGATTGAAGCGAGATATACTTTTAATTCATATTTATTCTTGATAGAAAATTCATTTCATGTCGTTTAATAATCTATTATGAAATTAATTTATTGCTCGAAAAAATCCGAAAAAAAATAGCATGTAACAATCTAATTAGATATAACTCTTGAGAATACAATAATAACTTCTTCTTTTTTTTTTTCATTGTTTTTAGTGATGATTGTAGATTAATGATATCCTGTCCTGATTAATTAGTGTATTTTATACCATATTAACTCTTTGGACATTTTTTTTCATGTTTCACCTTTACGTGGTAATCTTGAGGGAAACTCAGTAAAACCTCAACGAATCGTAAAAATTGACTAATCATTTATTCTTACATATATATACTCAACATTCTCTCATTATTAATTTTTTTTTATCATTTGGTTATAAGTCATTGAACTAAATAACAATGCAAAATACAGTAATACGTGCAATATTTGTCGCAATAAATGGTTTAATATTTATCGGATCGATAATTCTTAATCTCTTAGCTATTGTTTATATATTATCAACACGAGATAAAACAACAATATCCATACTCGTGGTTAATTTAGCTATAGCTGATATTATTCATGCTAGTATGTAGAATTAAAAATGATTTTTTTGTGTGTTGTGAATCTATAGATTCTGTTTTCTGTTTTAGTGGGTATTATTTTCTTCAGTAGTAATTTATTTACACGTAGTTGGATATTCGGTGAATTCGGATGCAAATTCAGTTTAACTACGGATGTTCTTTGTACAGTGGTATGTATAATTCTTATATAGAGAAGGAATCAATGATATTTATTCTCATAAAAATTCAACGGAAGAAATCTTCTTTTCTTATTATTTAAATCTTTTCTTTTTCTCGCATTGATAGAATAGATATTGAAAATTTCTGCTGAATGAATAGAAATATTATTCATAAATTTTGATTGATTTATATTAATTTTCATATAAGAAAAAATATTTTCTATTCCAATCTAAAAATAGATTGTCAAAATGACAGTGCGAATTGTAGGTAAACATTATATTAGATTTGATTTTATATTATTCTATTAATTATACAAAAAAATATTCAGATAATAGTGGTTGTCTCGTGAGACACTGTAATATTCTTTTGAGTAAGAAAATCTCTGCATGTATCACTATGATATCAGGAAAATATTTATCATTCAGAAATTTACTTTAATCAAAAATAGAATAAATATCTCTATCACAGGAATAATAATGCTTCTAAATTATGTTTATGTTATGTTAATAGTTTTCAGTGATAGTTTATAATATTCATACGGAAAAATCTTATTTTCTTCGTATGATTACAGTATTGACATATTCATTAATTTAATGTCTTTTTATTATAACCTAATTAAGAACATAATGTTTCATTAAAAGTCTGGGAAAAGCCATTAAGAGCTAATAAGTAAAAACGTTTTCTGACATGCAACCAACAAAAAAAAAGACTCTAAATAGCTAGAATTAATTAATCACATAAAAAAATTCTTGTTTATTTTTCTATTTTAAGGTTATTGTTTATACAGTTGCAGCTTTAAGTATCGAACGTTACATAGATGCACGTTCAACATTAACAGCAAAATTTCGTTCATTAGTTACATTTGCATCATTAGTTCTTATATGGACACTTGGTCTTTTAGTGTCATATCCATTTATTTTTTATACTTTTCTGCTTGATACAAGTAGTAATACAACAAAAAATTCCACAGCAACAGCAACAACAGCAACATATTCATGTCAATCACATTTAACTGAGAGAGAATTACTTGTTCATGAAATAGTTCTTTATGTCATTGCTTTTTTAATACCATATTCAATAATTGTTTTATTTTCGTTGAAATTACTTAAATTTTTACGTTCATGGTTAAAACGTAAAGAAAAATTGACACGTACAAGTGTGTCAAGAAAACGAACACGTGGTGTTAAACTTGTTTTATGTATTGTTTTATCATTTCTTATATGTTATACACCATTTTGGGCATTTAAATTTTATACACGTTTTATTGTTGATGAAAATGTTGTACAACGACCAATATTACAACGTATTTTATCATATGTACATTTACTTGTTGTTTTACTTAATCATTTTGAAAGTGTACTTAATCCACTATTTTTTATTGTATTAACTGAACGTTTTTGTATAACATTTTCAAAACATCGAGAAAGACATTCAAGATTATTTGGACCATCATCAGCTATTTTATTAGCTGGAGGAAAAAAATCTACTAAAACAGCAACATCAACATTAACATCAATAGCAAGAAATACAGAAACAAATAGTCTTTTAACATTTCATAATAATCATGTGGACATTAAACATAAATTACCTATTGTTGTTCAATCTTTGTAATTGTTTTTATAAAATAAATAAATAAAATATATGAAGTATTATATGTAATCGATATTTGATATGAAATCTTATATAGATTTTACTTTGGTTGAATAAGTCAAAAGAAAAGTATGTTGAAGTAGACAATTAGTATTCCCAAGAGTTTATTTTAGAAAGATGACAATGAGTAGAATGAAAATATCCATGATAAAAATAATATTATGTTGTTTATCATTAAGAGTTATTCTAAAGTTGTATGAGACAAACTTTTTAATGACTCGACAATTTCCGTCAGTCTCATTAATTGAAGACATTATTCTTTTCCAAAACAGTCGGACTTCTCTAGGCTACGGGCAAAAGATATAAATATATATTCCGCATATAACATCATAAGATAAATTGATTATTTACTACAAAATATCAGTCGGCAAAAATAATTCAATACTGATAAAAATTTTAAAATTTATCCTATTTATAAAACAAATTGAAAAAACCATGTGGGATTCATAATAAGGGAAATTTTTTCGATATTATTTTATTGGCATTGAGATACAAGATGATTATTTTCTGTGTCATTTCAACCCTTCTAGAAATCTTTTAGGAATAAAGAAAAATAAGCTTTATTAAAACTCTATATATAGTATGTAAAAACAATATTTATACAATCTTAAACATCATGAATTTAATGAAATTTAATACATAGTTTGTTTTCATGATTTTTAAAAGTTGTATGTTGTTGAGTATTTTTTGTTGAGAAATTCTTTCAATAATAAAAAATCAGCATTTATAAAACAATGTTTATCTTTCATGTTTTTTTGCAAAGGTAAAAATCAGCGAGAGAGGAAGAGAAGCTCGTATTTTATTTTTATATGGACTATGATTCATAAGATGGTTTTTTTTGTTGCCAACTGGATTATTTTTTTTCGTTTCTTTATTGTTTATTTGCGTCGAAAAATACTTCAAACTACGACGACGTATGATTCAAGTCGATAAAATACAAAATATCAGGTATATTTTTTTTTTCGTCTATCGGTCTGGATATGTCGTCTCATAGAGTAAAAGAAACGCTAATATAAAAAAGTAATCTGACAAAACTTTACACGTCATTTTCTATCAGTTCTCTTCCTTTTCGTTTTCAAACTATATAAAGATTTCGTATCATACATAATATTTATTATTGAAAATACGAACACATTATTACTTCGCATGGGACCTGCATTAGGATCAATAAAATCGAAAGGCTTCCAAGATAATGAAGATGATATATTGGAACCAGATATTTCTACTACAGATTGGATTAAATCTATTGAAAATACATTTACATACGTTTGGTGTGACGCATCACTTGGTACACCAAATAATACTGATGATATTAAAAATACTGTTATACAAATAGCAAATGTTGTAAATAAAAATCGACAACTTGTACATACATTTAATGAATTAAATGCTTGTGAAGATTTTATTACACGTGTTCATAATGTATGTTTGATTATATCTGGTTCATTAGGTGAAGTATTTGTACCAAAAATTCATAATCTTGATCAAATACATTCAATATATATATTCTGTTGTAATAAACCCAAACATGAATTATGGGCGCGACATTATGGAAAAATTTGTGGAGTATTTACTAATATAAAAGAAATATGTCAATCAATACAATCTTATATTATTTCAAAATCACCAGTATATTATGATCGAATAAATTTTAATATTATTAATAATGAAACAGGTTCATCATGTTTAATTTATTCGAAATTAATTCAAATGATTTTATTTAATATGGAATCACATGATCATGGTAAACAAGATATGATTAAATATTGTCGAAATGAATATACATCAAAATATCAAATACAATTAATTGATGAATTTGAAAAAAATTATTCAAAAAATACTCCTATATGGTGGTATACAAGAAATGGTTTTTTTCAAGGAATTATTAATCGTGCATTACGTACAAATGATCTATATGTTTTATGTTCAATGTATCGATTTATTAAAGATATGAATTTAACACTTTTACAATTGTATGATAAACGAAAACCATCAAATGAACCATTGATTCTTTATTTTGGTCAAGTATTATCTGATTATGATTTTGAAACAATAAGACAAAATCGAGGTGGATTAGTATCTGTTGATCAATTTATATCGACAAATCCTGATATGAATGTTGCAGTTTTATTTATTAAACAACAAAATTTTTCAAAATCAAATACAAACAGAATTCGCGTACTTTTTCGTATTCATATTGATCAAAAAGTTCAACCAATTGTTCCATATGCAAATATTGGTGCTATTAGTGATTTTGTACATATACAAGAATATCTTATATCAATGTCAAGTGTATTTCGAATTGATAAAGTTGAATTAACTGATACTTCATCTATATGGTTAGTACAATTAACATTAATCGATAAAAATGATATACAATATAATAATATCATACAAGATATAGAAAATAAACAATCAGATGATATGAATTTATCTGAATTAGGTTATACGGTTAAAGATCGATTATCTGAATTTAAATCAGCTAATAATTTATTTAAACAAGCATTACAAACGCAAAAAGAAGAATATCGAACAATTATTTTACATTATAATATGGCAGTTATATATGATGCTATAAATGAACATGAAAATTCTGTCGAAGAATATCGATGTGTATTAACAATGGCACGAAATTTTATACAAACATGTGCTAACGGCGATGATTTATGCTTAGTACCAGTATTTTCAAATATGGCTTTAACTTTTCAACAAGCAAATAAATTTAATGAAGCAATAACGTTTGCATTTCGTGCGTTACGTATTATTACACATTCTCAAATTAAATCAACATTAAATAAAGAACTTGAATCTTCATGCTATTTTATTCTTGGATCCATACATGATCGTGAAGGAAAAACTTCTGAAGCGCAAACTTTCTATAAAAAAGCGCTCAGTATTCGACAAGAATATTTACCATTAGGTCATTCAGATATAACTGTTTTACAAAGACTTATTACATTACTATGAATCAAACAAAATGATTTCGATGAAATCTAATTAAGTTTTTCTCAAACGAGTCTATATATATATATATGTTCGACTCGAAATATCTGATGAAACTTGATTTGTTTCATAACAATGAAATTTTTTGTTTTCTAATATGGTATTGTTTGTATTGTAAAATTCTTATGTAGTTATTAATAAATGTGTCTTAATAAGAGAATCTGAAAATATATTTTAGAAATTTATCAAGTCAAGTATAGGATAATTCAGACATACAATTATCTTACTAAAAAACTGACATATGTACTTCTCGTGACAGATTTTCTTTCTGAAGAATTTTTTTTGCTTCTTCAGTCATGATGATTAGAGTCTAGTTGCGTACCAGTTAATAGAATGTGAATAATTCTACCTACACAATGACTGGAAATATGAGTGTGTACTTGGGCTTGGTTGAGATAAAATGTCAGATGACGCACAGACTCAGGCTATAGTACCGACTTTTTAACAGTTGATTTATTTGTAACTATAAGTTTACAATAAGTAGTTATATTTCTTTAATTGAGACTTTTTATCAACAATAAATATACAATATGTTTTGCAGAATATCCTCTCTATCGTAAACATCTTTCGGGCTTTTTCAAAGTATTCAATATAGAAGAAAATAAAGTTATAATCTCTTTGATCATTTGCAGTACACTGAACAAGATATAGTATTTTGTAGAACTATTCACACAGTGTATAAAACGATGGGCAGTTCGATTGTAACCATCATGATTGAAGAAAAGAATTTTTTAATGAGATAACCGCAGGCGCTAGTAGTCTCATACTTGAGAGAGATCTACTTGACTTAATCATGTTATATATATTTCAATGAAACTTCCACGATACATTTGAGAACTCGTTACTAGCTAGACTTTATAAATAATTTATTTGAAAAAGTATGTTGTTGTTGTTATATATAGAATGAATTTATTCTTCAAAATTTAAACATTAAAACCAAGTTGATTAAGTAAATTTTTAAATCTTCACCAAAAGAAAAAACACTAGCGTTATGATATGAAATATTTCAATTAAAACAGATTAGAATCATGATTATAAAAAAAGAACATTCAAATAAGAGCAAATTTTAATTGGAGATATTTTTAACTGAATAAATCCACATGACTTTGTCTATTTAGGTGTTTTCAAGCATAATAGTTAATCCTTATCGTAAAAATAATTAGAGTTTATTGAGTATAGAAGCTTATTAATCTATCTATCGTCTATAAAAAGTATTAAAATCGATGAAAGATTTATTCTAAAATATATTATAATTAGTTTTCAGATACTGTTATTTTCTTTTCTCAAATCATCTATGCGAATCTTTTTTCCAATTAATTTTTGTCCGTGATTAAAATTCTCAATCTATATCTTAGGTTTATTATTATCCAAATGCTAAATTGATGATACACTCAATTTATTCTCTTTTAACATACATCACGCAAACATGATTTAATGTTATTATTAGACTATGCATTATGGTACACCCACAATCGAATATAATCTTATTAGATCTCAGTTTCTTCTCGAGTTCTTTTTATTATATGTCATATGAAATTTTTGTATTGATAACAATTCATTAACGTCATTTGTATTCAATAGTTTTATATATTCGATATTAAGAAAATGCTCTAAATGATTAAATATAGTTAGACAGAAATTCATTCGATTAGATGTAAGTTGAGCTTGTATAAAAAAGAAATTTGATACTAAATCTAATTAATTTTTATGCGCTAAATTGTTCCGGTACAAATCAATTCCGATTAGATTTTTTCCTTTCTAAACAAAATATTTTCTTAATATGATAATTATACGGAAACTCATTAAATATTTAAGATTTATTATTAAAATGGCATGCAAATATAAAACTTCATTTTGTATCCTAGTGCCAAGAAAATAAAAAAAAAATATTCAAGCTCATTCAGTCTTTATTTTTATCAAAACTGTTCTGATCATTATATATAATTGTCTTTTTGTTTCTTTTATTATACCTGTGAGAAAGAAAATGGTGTAATAAATAATTTTTTTATCCGAATCGTAAAAATTCGCCTTTTCGACTAAAACGAAGAAATTCGTTGTTTGATGGTGATTGTGATCGTCGGCCAAAACGAAGAAATGTTGCCCCATTAGGATTAGCACGACCAAATCGAAGAAATGTTGGATTTGATCGACCAAAACGAAGAAATGATCCTGATGGTGATACTTGTCGACCAAAACGGAGAAATGATCCTGATGGTGATACTTGTCGACCGAATCTTAGAAATGATGTCGAACGGCGCATATAATCATTATCTTCATTACTTTCACTACTGCTAGAGGATTCATCTTCATTATTATATGCATATGCGGATTGAAGATATAAATTTAAACGATCACTTGGAGATACATTTTCTAAATCTATTAATAAAAAATAAAAACAATTTCTAAGATCAAAATAGTGTAATATATATACATACCACTTGATGCTCTTGTTACGAATTGTATGCATATAAGTGCTGATAGAATAGTAAATAAATACATTATACTCGATGAATGATGGAAAAAGGACATCTGAATAGAATAGTTAAAAGAAAAATATTTGTTCTTTATTTATTTCTCTATTATTTATATATATATAAGTTCTATAGCGAGGGAAGAGAAAAAAAGTCTTTATTGAACTAAAGTCATTTTTTATTTTAATATAAACATAGTCGAGTACTTATAATTATGTAGGACTGCGTAGGCGGTATTTCACTTATAAAGAATAATTCGTTATAAGGTAAAATTACATAAAAAAACGATAGGGAAAAAAATAAGAGGTTACTACCAATGTGTGCATAGTAAAAGCAGTAATTATCATTACATTTCTTCTTTTTTTTTCATTTAATAATTATACCATACTATAGATCAAATAATGTTCATCGCAACTTTTATGTTTTGCTATAAAGTAATTTGAATAATGCTTTCTCTTCTTTCTAGTCTCGATTACCTGTCCATTTTATTAATGAATGATATAAATACTATTTTATAACTATTTATAGCTAAGTTTTTTTCTTTCAAGAATAAATATACATCTTGAAATTCTATTGTGTATGCATGACTGATATTTGAGAGAAGATATCATCTTGAATATAAATAACTCAATATGTAGATATTTTCAGTAAGTTAATCTATAAGATCTTTTCAATTATGAGGAAATAGAGTCGTTATAATACTTTCATAGAAAAATACTTGTAATATTTCAACTATAAATAATGTACTCCTTTTTATTAATAGAATGTCTTTCTGACTTATATACTTCAATTACAGACATATGCTTATATAAGAATAATTTTAATTGAAAAAAACAAGAGAAAGTTCAAGTACTTTTGTTTTTCTGGTCATATACATCATATTCGATTTTTTTTGTTGTTTATTATTTATATATAAACAAATCAAATTAATTGATAATTTTTTAATTGAATGTTTTTTTTTGTATATGATATATATAATGAGAATAAGATCAAGCTTTTCTGTTTATTATCTTATTTCATGTTTCTAATCTTTATGCAATAATAATGATGAGTCTAATTTTCTAATCTACTGTCTGGAGTATATCTCATTTACATGTATGAAAATAAATCTGTAAAATAAGAACGATGCATTCAACGATAAAACAATTCATCCTAAAGTGCTTTTACGAATGACTTACCTTCATTCTAACTAGAGTAATCTTAGACGATATATATATATATATGTGTGTGTGTAGGTACGCTTGTTAGATCTATAGAAAGAAAAAGGAAACGAACAGGCGTACTCGTCGCGCTCGATAATAAGATGTTGAAATAGTGTGTACTTGGAATGTGTTGAACGACAGTAACGATCTTTATTTATGTCTTTTATTCGTAAAAGAGAAAAAGATAAAAAAATAGATCTAATGACATCAAGGTGTAAATGTCAGATTTGGTAATCCAAATATAACAGTATTTAGTTGTTGAAGTTGCAAGGTTGGACGTTGAATTTCTTCTTTTGGTTCAATTTCCGATGATACATCGGAATTAACGTTTGTTGGATGTGCTGATGATGATAATTTTTTATTTGTATCTTTTGAAGGTATTGGTTGTTGTTGTTTGTTTTTTGGTGATGGTGAACGATCTTTCTTATTTGTAGAAGCATTTCCCTTATTTTTTGCATCTTTTAATGTTGTTGCAGCTGCTGGATCAATTTCAACTGGACGAAAATATGGATAAACATTTAAACGTAATGCTTGACTCAATGAACAATGAAGTGTCGCAGAGTCTAAAGATAGAAGTAATTATTGAGATTAAAAGAAACCGGAAGTTAAAAACAGAATTATAACCTGTAAAAGTATTGATTAATATATTTTCATTTTCATTTATTGTTGATTTCCATTGATTGAGTAATATAGATTTAACACCACCTGAACTCCATAAAAGTGCAGTTTCAGTTGATCGATCAAGTTGAATTGAATCATGATCATTATTATTAATTAATCTTAAATAAGTATATATTTAATAATTTATATACAAATAAATTTTTTAATTAATATTTACGATAGAGGTGTATTAACAAAACTTGTTGATGTTCGATCAAATGAACATAAAATTGTACAACCTAATTAACCAAAAAGAAAATATAATTAAAAATTTGAATGAAAGTTTTTTTCACCATTTTTAGATAAAGTTGGACATTTATAGGGTCCAACTAATTCACTTAATGTATGTGCACCATAATAAACAACACCTTGAGCTTCACTAATAATGCGTTCAAGTTCAACAGTACTAAAGAATAATTTTTAATTAAAAATTCTTGATTATATGTCATAAAATATTCGGGTGAATAAACATAGGAATAACAAAGAGATACCGAAGGGATAAATAAAGAAGAATATATAGGGAGATAGCTAAACTTACGATAAATATTGACTAGAAGGAGGAATAGGTATACTTTTTTGTGATCTGAAATATATATGTTTTATAAGGTTGATATAAATTAAATGGAGTAGATTTTATTTTATAAGAATATATATTAATAATTTTATATTCTTACTTTATTGTTGGTCCGTCTTGTTTTGTTGTTTTCCATTTTGAAAAAAGTTGAGGAAATTTTTGTCGAAGTAAATCAAATGGTGTAGTTGTTTTGTTTTCTAAAAACAGAAAAAAAAGAAATTTGTTTTCTTCAATAAAATTAATCTTTCATCAAATTTACCAGTTGATGATTTAAGTAAAACAGGTTCCATTAGATAATAAGTATTACTTGAATCAATAACTTGTATTTCGCTAGTAACTTCACCAGCCTTGAAATAAATTGAATTTATCTTTTATGTTATATTTTAAAAGGAATACTTACTTCTTTCGCACCACCTTTCTTGCCTTTGCCATCTGTAAAGAAAAATAAAACAAAATAAAATAAGAGATCATAGATTTTATTTTCGTTTAAAATATGCGTGCTCTTGAAGAAGTAAATGTAGAGATAAAGTATGGATAATGGATTCATCTTTCATCTACTTAAGCTTTGTAGAATGAAAACAAGGTTATTTGTGTCGGAGATCAAAAGGCATTCCTGTCAGTGTTCAAGGTTTCTTATCGATAATCAAGGCATGTTAGTCTTGACCTTTAACTATGGTATCAACTGATAAATATATAAAATTGTTCTTGACATCTTACAGAAATATTTAGTTTTCTTCAAAAATCTTATTCATATTTTTTAGTATTACCAGAAGTATATTGTAATATTGCTCAATATATCTGCTTGTCCACGTAAAATCTTACCTCTGTGGGCGAAGTTTTTACAAGAAAATATATTTATCTCCTGAAGTAGACGACATACATAGTCCAAATTTTTAGCATAAGTTTAACAGTGATATGGTGAATATACATGTGTGTGAAATTGGTCTGGAGTGACTGTTTATAGTGAAGAAATAGACATGCGAAAATGTGCTTCCATCATGACACATATTTCTGCGGCGCAAAGGCAGCTTTAAATATTTTTTCAAGGTTTCTTTTTCTTTAGATACTGTATCATCCAGTCTATCAATCTGCTACAAATCGTGTTTTTTTATCCCTGTTATTAAACATGATGTTCCATTTTGTGTGATTCCGTAACAAGATATATTTTTGATCGTAAAACACAAACAGATTCAATAAACTTAAGAAAAACTCCCATCCTTTTGAAGAGGAATTAGACTAACATAGACTTTGTAAAGGCTTAGACTTATCGGTTACCGTATGACCGACTTATAGAATTTATATGAGGAAAAAATATGATTCCATCACGCTTGGACACGCCGATATCGAGATTATTTCTTACCATCAACTGGAGCTGTAGTTTCATCAATACCAATAGTTGGATTTAAACGATTATAAACCGATTGAATCGAAAAATCTCTTGAAATACCACCGATTTGAACATGTCGAAATATATCAAGTGATTCAAGTGGTAAATGTGCTAGACGTGGATCAATTAGAAGTATAAGATGATCGGAACTAAGCATTGATCGAGATTCATATTGTTTTTCCGAACTAAATTAATAATGAAAAAAAAAACAATAAATTATTCATATATTTTGATTTGTTTTTTCTTCCTACTCAAGATAGTTTGAAAGTAATGATTTAATAGGCGAAAAATATTCATTTAATTCAACAAGTAATTCATCAATAAAACGTTGTCTTAATTCATTTATTGAACTAATATCAACTGGATCAGGCTAGAGAAATAAAAACAACATTGATTATTCATTCATAATTATTATTAAAAATAAAACACAAAGCTATTTATTTATTGCAATAGGAGTGAAAGTTAATATAAGTGTATATGATATTATAGGAATATATATATATATGTAATAAAAATGGTAGACAAACATTTATCCAACATTTTGAAATTCAAAATGATATATCCAAAATGTGGATAAGATTATAGACAACATTAAAATAACCTGTTGATCATTTATTGATATATTTTCATTATTGGTTAATATAGTTTTTTTAACCTAAAATTAAATTTTTTATAAAAAATCGTGTTTTTTTTGTTCTTTTTGTTTTCTTAAGGAAATATTTTATATGAAAATAAATGGAACTAACTTGTTCGGAATTAAGCATAGCTTGTTTATCTCGACTACGTTGAAGTTTAAGATCATATTGTTGTAAGAGTTGAGAATATTCTTGTTTCCATTGATCAAATTTATTAATAAGATTACTTAATTTTCTTTTATCAACATTTATTTTCATTATTTGAGGAGTAGCAGTGCCACTTGTTGATCCTAAATTATCATAGTATTTCTCTATTAGATTTTTGAAAAAAGAAAATATCAATCTCTTACCTTTCGCATTTCCTTTAGTAGCACCTGTTGTTGTACCTTTTCCAGTTAACATTTTACTATTGAATAATGCTGCATAGAGTACATCACTAAATATTTCAAACAGTTAAATTATTCAGTTGTATTAGAAACAATAAAACAAACCCATTTGATGAATAATGTAATACAAGAAAATTAAATAAAGATGGCATTTCTTTGGTTAATTCATGATATTGTGATCGAA